GAAGAGAAGAAAGCTAATTTCATAAATGTGACAGATGTATTGAAGTCATGAGGAACTGCCCGTTTCACGTACCCATGCAAATGTGAGAATGTAAGTAGTTTTTAACAAAATCAGTAGCGCTTTAGTGGGTTCCTGAAACCCAGCATTTTAAAAGTCAGTTTCATGACACCAGAAAGCGCATTTGTCTGCTATCCGCCCGCCTGCGCACAGATGCATCCCCGAACTCAACGCTCATTCATGTTAATTACAAGCCCATCGGAGCCCGCAATCTCTCCCTTCCCAGAACGCCAGCTGCAGGCAGGGGGGAAGCTCATATGTACAAGGACGGCAGCGCAGGGTCTGCGGAGAACAATACACTCCAGAGACCTCTATCTGGAGCAATTCCATTCTTTGTGGTTACATTCACACGGGGCCAGTCACACGCTGGGTGCCCTTCCCTTGGGCTAGGTCACAGCGTAGCCTATAATTAAAGACTTTCATACAAGTGCGTGCTCCACCCAAGAGTTGTAACATCTGCTTTGAAGTCCACACGCTCTTTTGCGCCCATGCTGGGAGCCCAGTTCTGCGTTCTCCGCGCCCCCAAACTGCCCCGGGATGAGTGAATAAGGGTTTGGCGTGCAGTATTGGGCGTCGGGCATTCCGTCTGCCCTAATGCCTCTTTCGGGCGACCCTAGGGTGGCATTAAAACGAGCATCAGAAGCGTGTAAACATGCAGGGGATGTTTGAGTTGCTGGACCTGCAGCAGCTCGCTCAACTCTAGATCGTCTGGCGAAGTACGCCAGGACAGTGCGTTTATGTCCCTGTAAAAGGGTTTTGTAGAAACGATTCTTCTCCTGAACAGAAATCAGCTCCCCTCCCCCCACACACACACACTCTCTCTCTCTCTCTCTCTCTCTCTCTCTCGCATTGTCAGCCGTGGGGTTTAATCCTGCAACGCTTCAGGCAAGATGGAGCGGTCTGGTTCTCAGGTGAAAAAATCTTTCAACTCCTTTTATTGTAATTGCCTTCCTTTTAAACCCAGAATAATCGTCCTAGTTTTATTCTAATGGGGGCCAAGAAAAGGGGGCGTGGGAGGGCCTCAGTGCCTTTTGCAGCGACAGGTTTCAGCTTTGTTTTCTTTTAACAGAGCTGAGTTTGAATTTGGGAGCGGAAAGTGAAAATGCTGATCGGAGCTATTCTGGATGCATTTTTTAGCATGCGGTGCTACAGAACATAATCGGGAGAAAGCACAAATAAATACCCCAGGGATCCTTGAGCTGCAATAAAGTCCTAGCACAGACTCATCCCCTCAGCTGTGTCCTATAACTTAGGCGCAGGCGAGCCCTCCGTTTCATCTCAGCTCTGTGTGTGAGAGAGAGATAGACACAGAGAGAGAAACAAGTCGCTCAGGTTTTTTTTTAAATACATCTAGAAAGGAGAGCCCCTCTAAATCTAGGAGATCATAGGCAAGAAAGTCTATCAAACCATCGTTCCTTTGCAGCTTTTATTAAAAATATAAATATTAAACATTCTCTTACACAACAAAATTGACCGAGCGCTGAAAAGATGCTTTATTACGGAAATGGTACAGGAAAAAGTTGAGTCGCAGTAGCTTACAGAGATTCCCCCTTTCCTCCCTCCTCCCGCACACCTTTTCCCACAAGAGAAGTCTCTCTCCTGGCCGACGGCTTCTTTGGGACCTTTCTTCCGAGCGGCGCCCATCCAAAGTAGCGATGTCACTAGAATAGCTCTGCCATGGGAAAATAAAGGTGGGTACGTTACACAGGACACTTTTCTCGTGACTGCACTGGAACACGGGGCTGTGCATGCTAACCTAGGGACACGGGCTCTGTGCAGTGTACACCCTCTATGGGTAAAGCTCTATAAAAATAAAGGGATGGCATCAGAGCAGCACTATGGTACATAACACGGTGTGATTTTGTGCTAACCGCAAAATCTCTTTGGCAAGGCGAGGCCGCTTCACTTCCCGATTATCTCCATCAGTTTCCTGTTGCTGTGAGCTTGCTGCGCTAACTGTTCGGCGCGGGCCATTTCCAAGACTTCTCGGAGGAGGTGGAAAGTCAGATCCAGGGAGATCGGGGGCTCCTCGGATCGCTTCTCCCTCTCCATCGCCTCCCGGGACAGGCTCTCGGCTTCCCCCTCCGCGGGACTCTCCAGCGAGCGCTCTGGGAGCTGCACAGCCGCTCGGAAAAAGTTGGTGGCGGAGGCGCCCGGCGGTAGGTGGCTGCTGCTGCTGGAGGCGAGGAAGGTGGGGGCGGGGGGCTTGTTGAGGTTGCCCAGCCGCAAGAAATACTCTTCCCCCATGCGGAGCAGCACGGGCAGGCTGGGGGGCAGCTGGAAGAAAGCTGGCGGCAGCGGAGCGCTGGAGGCTGCGGCGGGGCTCTTGCCGACGGCTCTGCATTCATGGCAGGGCAGGAGCGCGACCAGCAGGATCCCTGTGGAGACCAACAGCTGGAGCTTCATGTTCCACGCCCAGATCTGCAACAAGGACAGAAGGGGGGCGGGAGGGACGGGGCGGGGAGAGAAAGCCCGCGGCGCCGGAGTTAGACTTCAGGGCGGTGGAGCCCCCGGCCCTGGGGGTGCGGCTGGCTGCCGGCCCGCCCAACGGAGGGAGCCGTTCGCACCGCTGTCCCTGGTGCTGATCACCCACCCCATGGCTCCCCCGGACTCTAGCCCTTCCACACGCCCCAGCGCGGGGGGAGATGTGTCCTTCTCCGCTTTGCTTACGGCGCTGGGCGATGCCTCCCAAAGGCGCTGGAGCAACAATCCGCGGAGTGGCACCCGCTGGAGAGGAGAAAGCCCAGCCGAACCAAACCCGGCTAGCAACCAAGGCATGGCACCTACCTAAGGGTGGAATCCACCTAAGGGAGTCACCTACCTAGGGGTCGCAGCAACTTATGGGTGGTAGGTAGCTAGGGATGGCTGCTACCTAGGAATGGCAGCAAGCTAGGATGGCAGCTACCTAGGGGTGGTAGCAAGCTAGGGATGGCAGCTACCTAGGGATGGTAGCAAGCTAGGGATGGCAGCTACCTAGGGATGGTAGCAAGCTAGGGATGGCAGCTACCTAGGGATGGTAGCAAGCTAGGGATGGCAGCTACCTAGGGATGGTAGCAAGCTAGGGATGGCAGCTACCTAGGGATGGTAGCAAGCTAGGGATGGCAGCTACCTAGGGATGGTAGCAAGCTAGGGATGGCAGCTACCTAGGGATGGTAGCAAGCTAGGGATGGCAGCTACCTAGGGATGGTAGCAAGCTAGGGATGGCAGCTACCTAGGGATGGTAGCAAGCTAGGGATGGCAGCTACCTAGGGATGGTAGCAAGCTAGGGATGGCAGCTACCTAGGGATGGTAGCAAGCTAGGGATGGCAGCTACCTAGGGATGGTAGCAAGCTAGGGATGGCAGCTACCTAGGGATGGTAGCAAGCTAGGGATGGCAGCTACCTAGGGATGGTAGCAAGCTAGGGATGGCAGCTACCTAGGGATGGTAGCAAGCTAGGGATGGCAGCTACCTAGGGGTGGTAGCAAGCTAGGGATGGCAGCTAGCCGAAGCTGGGCAGCGAGCAGGCATCTAAATACACCGTGACCCTCGGCCCTTCGGTCGCTGCTTCCTCCCCGAGGAGCCCCAACCCGCTAGCTTCCCAGGCTCCAGTCTGAAGCCTTCCCCACCACCTGGCCAAACCCGCGTTGGTCAAAGCGGCGCGCCTGCCCAGAGCCGGCAGAAGTTAGCTCCGCTGAGGCTCCCCCGAGGGCTCTGCCTACCTGGGAGCTGCCGCTGCCGGAGAGTAGGGCAGGGGGAGTCTGTCAGGACGGGGGGGCTCGGAGGTCCCGCTGTCACTCGGTCGGTGCCGTCTCCTCCCCACCTTGCGATCAGATTCCCTCCTAATCAGCGCCGGGGCGCGTGATTTTTATAGCTTAGACCCTCTTCTGGAATCACGCAGCACTTGCCTAATAAGCTGACGCTTTCTTGACAGCTCGCTTGCGTGCCCCGATCCACTGCTGAATAAATCATGGGGCCCTCGCCGAGCCGCGCGGGGCCGAGTTTTGCTATCACAACACAGCATCTCACATCCAATTATATCAACAGATACTTATCGCTGCGCTAGTGACGTCAGCCCCCGCCGGGTCCGGCCAGCGGAGCGGGGCGCTCGCCCATTGACAAAAATCCTTGAATGAGATTTCCCGACAGGAGCCGAAAGCAACAGCGCCCGGCTTCTTACTATGAGCGGCCGGGCGGGGGGAAACTTTCCACTCCATCCCCGCCTGAGAAGGACCCGCGCGCGGCCCGGATCCAGAGCCGGGCCAGGCTGCTACCCAGGGTCAGAGCTTGCAGCCTTGTCCATCTCTCAGTCATCCCCCTTCCCGAGCCCACTTAGAGAGGCAGAGTTATTTTTTCTCCTGCCGAGACCTCTCCTCTCCAAGCCCTCGCTCCCCCAGCACTAATGTATGGCGGAACGCGCAGGAACCAAAAGTAACACAGCCCTATGGAAAAGTCCTGCAATATTTCCCCAAGAAGTTTTCCCATCGCTGGCTGAACTTGGGAGGTCCGCGCTAGGGTTGCAGCTGACTCTCTAACAGGCTGTTCTGAACATTTACACATAGTAACACACGCTCGAGGTACATTTCCAGCAACATCCAGCCAGTGGGACTCACTCACTGAGCAAGGGGTGCGTTTGAAGGGGAAACTGCTCTTTGGAAACACGCAAACCGCCTCACACTCTCCAACACCAGATCTAGTGCTGGAGTTTCCGTTTTGCTGGGGGGACAGGGGGGAGTTCCAAACAGTGGGTCTAACCTTGCCGGGTCAGGGTACCTACAAGGAAGGGCAATCAGTGCGTGCATAGAAAATTAACAGGATCAATAACACTAGGTAGGAAGTTTTATAACTAAGTCTGCTGAGGTGTCTCATAACTCCCCCCGCCCTGCAAACTGTACATTTCCCTTTAGATTGTGCATTCAGTATGTGATCTGAATTTCTGTATTAACAGTAAATCGACCCACGTGGAATAAGGGGGGTATTGGAAACGCCCTCTTTGTACCCCCTTTTCTGCTGCTTCGGTGAGCTGTAAGAAGCCCCGCAAATCCACCTACAGAGTCTTCTCCTGTGTGTACCATGCTGACATTTCCCTATTGAAAAAAAAAACGGTGCCAGTTTCATGAGACCCTGGGTTTTGCCGCCCGGAAAGTAACAGCACACGAGAGAATGGCTGTTAAACTGCATTCAATGGCATTGGAGGGCAGCTGTCTGGGTAAAAATGAAACTATTGTGTTTGATGATTCACTTGTTTCTTTCCTGCGCAGTCATCAAAATTGCTCTCCAAGCCTTCCTTACTCCGCGGCTCGGAACCCAGGCGGGCTAGAGGGAAGGGGTGCGAAGCGATGGGGCGGACGGCTCATCCCAGGCACAGCCCGGGGAGGCATGCTGGGGCGATGCCCCAAACAAACCAGAGCCCCACGAAGGTCTGTCAAGAACAAGACGCCTCGATGACCTCGTGCTTAAAAATGCCGCAGTTGATGGACTGTTGCTTGGGCAGAATTGGCTGCAACTAACATTTGCTCGATGGAGGTTTCTCCCCCTTGCTTCATAACACAGGACAATAACGTGGTTTTAACGGGCTACGCCATCCATTTCTTTAGCTTGATCGCCAAAAGGCGGGGATGTGCTCTAGGCATCGTTGTGAAACTCCACTCAGCGCGTAAAATGCAACCGGACGCTCCGTCTGGAAGCCAATTTCATGTGAGCGAAGCACGTCAAAACTGCGTGGTGTCAACTAGCACCCCACTGGGGAAACGCGATTTCGGTCCGTGAGTCAGGGAGCTCCTTCAGTCCCCTGGCGTATTCTTTTATTTTGTTGCGTGTGTTTCTGTCGCACTTAGGAGCCCGAATCACGAACCAGCACCCCGCGATGCGAGGCGCTGTACAAAAGCTGTAGAAAAGGAAGACTGGAAGGGTCAGCATTCTAATCGGAATACATCTGGTGAATGGCAACTGAGATTAAAGCGCACACCACACTATTCATATTATATCAAGGGAGAACTTACATACTGTAGCAATGTGGAGAAATGGATCACTGGCCCAAAAAGATACTGGCGAATATTTTCTTGTTGTTTCGTGTTGTTGGGGGTTCACCTACTTCCTCATAGACCGAATTCTCGTTTTGCACAATCCTTCAGCAACACAACTCCCTCTTATGGAAGCGTCTCCAATTCACTGGTGAAGTCATCTTGGGTTCAGTTCTGAGCTCATGTATATGAATTCAGTCCCCACTGACGGCACATTTTGGCCATATCACTTTATTTCAGAATCTCATTGGAGGTGAAGTAGGGCTGCAAGAGACCTAAACGCAAAAGACCAAAGACAGCCCTCTAAACTGCTTGGAGAGCCCAGTTGGAATCAATGCATGAATGAGAGCAACACTTGCCCCAAATCACTTTATTGGGTTCCACACAGGAAAGCCCTTAAGCACATGCTTTCCTGAATCAGGCTATGTCTAGACTGCAGAGTTTTTATGGGGAAACTCTGCCATGTCAAGGGTATGCGTCCACTTTTTCAGAACAGTTTTATGAGGAGTAAGGAATGTTCCAAAAGAGGAGGGTTTTCCGACATTTGGCCCCATGTAGATGGGCCAAATGCCAGAAAAGTGTCTTCCAAAAAAATAAGCAGAAAAAGATAAGCAAATTGTGGTTTACAATTTTCATATCTTTTTCTGAAAAACCCCCTCGCAGTGTAGACATAGCCTTGGGGTCTTAATTAGCAATGGTGATGGAAACATTCTGAAAAACATCTGAATGGTACATGGATTTAAAGTCAACTCAATATATGAAAAAGCCCATGAGACATACACATAGAAGGCATATTCTGATGGTGTAAATTGGCATAGCTCTACTAACATCAGTTGCCTTGTGCTGATTTTCGCCAGCTGATTATTTAGCCCTCGGAGTTTAGAATTCCAGTCACTGCATCTTCAAACCCATTGCACCCTAGAGGAACATTCCTGAACTTTTCAGGTGTTTGAAATTCAAACTCAGACCTGAATCCAAATTTTACAAGTACCTTTCCAATGGGTAGGATCAAATCCCCACACTACATCCAAGAAATGGTTATCGGCTCAAACTGCTGATCAGGTCTTGGGCCTATCCATAATTATAATTCAGAATTGCAACGTGCCAGCCCTCTGTTTTTCTTTACCTTGTCTAGACTGTATTCTCTTTGAGGCAAGAACTACCTTTTCCTGTATGTTTGGCTGGCATCTAGCACAATCTGCACCCAATCTTAGTTGCCCTCCAGAGATATTACTATTAATAACTCATATAACCGTTTATCCAAATTTCATAACAATAGAAATATCATGTCCCCAAAGTTAGTCTGTAAAATAATAAGCAATGCATAGCAGGTTTATTATATGAGGTCTATCCACCAAGAAGTTGAATATCTGAGACCCACAATGCACCTCCAGCTCCCATTGTGCCTACTCACTTTGCTATTTTTCAAAATATGTATACAATAAATAACCAGAAAAACAGAAACAACAACATAGCACAAGCATGTCCATTAATGTGGGTTAACTCAGGCAGTCATGAACTGAAATACATATTATGACAAAAACAAAAAGGTTCACATCTTGTAAATAGAAGGAAAGCTACTTGGATGTTTTTAGGTGAAGATGGCACAACTTGCTCTGATGTTTACAAGTGGTTCACAGAAACAGGAGCTAAATTTGATCAAATGATAGCGGATGTAAGATGCACTCATTAAAATGGAACTCTAAATGCAGCCTGGGGTGTTGTCATAACATCACCATTTTCAGTCTGTGATATATTTGAAAAGGACACAGCCTACTGTAGAGTGATCACAGAACTAAAGAAACTGAAGTGATGATATGAATGACATTCCAAGTACAATGAATGAGCACTAATGGAACTATGCAAATTGAAATCAGCTCAAGATCTGAGCCAAGACATTTCATATTGGGTATCTTTTAAGATAGATATTGCAACCAAAGTTATACCCCTCTCCTGCCCTTCCCCCCCCCCCCAAGAATGTTAATGATAATGATAGTGAAAATAGCAGCTAGGTTTAGAAAGGATGCTCAATTTCTTGGCATAAACCTGCACCTTGCAAGAGCTCTCCACCTTGGCATGCTCTTTTGATGAATGTTTCTCAGTCAGGTTTTCTAAGGATTACATCAACTCATTCAGATATTTGCCGTGTGTTACACCAAGCTACATAAAATCACTAGTGAAATCAGTACAGACTAAAATGACATACACTGACTTGTTTAGTCCACTCTATATACTACAATATTTACATTCCAATTGATATATTTTATAATTATGTGATAAAATGAGAAAGTAAGCTATTTTGTAGTAGTACGGCGCTCCAGAAGTTTTGTAGTTTTGTGTCTGATGTTGTAAGCAATTTCTTTTAAGTGACGTGAAACCTGGGAGTACATAGGAAAATCAGACTCCAGAAAGGGGTACAGTAGTTTACAAAGGTGGTATTAGAAGACTCTTTCCTTTGTGTAAGGTTAATATTTTTACACATACTTGCTACTGAGTAAATATGATCACAGTACCACATCTACCTAATGTTGCTCGGGTTCTTAAGGAGGGGCTCAGGAAAGAGAGCTGGGAGCATGGGGGGTGAGGTGCAGAAGTGAAGGTTGGAAGTGAGGGGTGGCTCTGGACAGGGAACTCTGTGGGTACCTCTCCACTACAGAGAAAATCAAAGCTGTCACTGTTGATCTTCTAGGGTTTGAATTAGTGGGTCTAGTTAAGACAGCTAATTGAAACTGAGAGGGACATTCTAGTCGATGCCAGTAGTCCTGCTTCTGTGAAGAATAAGGGAAGTCGAAGGGAGAGTGTTCTCTTTTTGACTTCCTGCAGTATGGGCAGCGCTAGAAGTCAAGTTAAGATATTTTGACTTCAGCTACGCAATTAACGTAGCTGAAATTGCATATGTTAATTAGACTTTGTCCCGTAGTGTAGACATACTCTCTCTGTGCATGTGTAGGGGGTGGGCAAGGAGG